GTAAGATAAACCAAGCACTCTCTGGTTGTCTTGTACAACTGAATGGTGTCGCTCTCCTTGACGAATTCACGAACAATCTCTCCCTCATCGTTCTCAACAATCAAGACTTCCTCTGGTCTGACCATCTTTTCAATCATGACCACTCGCAAGTTCGAAAGTACTTCGTTGTACTTGTGCTTTCTGAGAGGATAGTTGGCGAGCAGACTTGGGTTGGGCGCACCGGGACTCGAAATGCCGCCGACGCCCATTCCGACAAGAGGGTTGACGTCTCCAATGGGTAGCGACTGTTGTTCATCATACAATTCTTGGACCAGTCTAGTCCAGTATTCTAAGCAAATCTTGAAGATCTCTCGGTCCTCGATTTGAGAAATTCGAATAAGGTAGAAGTGGCCGTGTGTGAGGAAATCACGGTTCGGTAGGTTCTCTATGAGCTATTGGAATAATTAGAATGTATCGAGGAAGACCAAACGAGTAACGGGAAACTTACAGTAAGATGGGAAGAGAAAAAGTTACACAAGAAAAGGGCCAAATTCTGGATAAACTCTTGGTCCTTGGAGTTACTCGAATTGTAAGTACTCTTGAGGTCGAGAGTCAAAGGAATAATCTTGGAAATTGTGGTCAAAACTTCGGTGAACATTTGAACCAATTTCTCGTCGTAGTTGTTCCCAGTACCAGTTTGGAGTCCTCCAATCTCTGTCAAACACTTTAATGTGACATTTCTGAATTCGGGCATCTCCAAAAATCGTTCTCTAAGAGTATCGATAACGGTCGTCTCAAAGATATAACCAAGCGGAATCCAGTTGAAGAATCGAAGAAGAGTCTCGAGGGTAGCCTTAATCAAACTTTCTTGAGTGGCGCTGTTCAAGACTTCGTTACAAAGTTGGAAGATGGAGGAAAACTCTGCACACATCGTCGTCTTCAAGTTCTTCGTCTTTGCGGAAGTCATCTGGTCCGCCGAGTAATCGAAAACTTCCTCCGATAACAATCTCAAAATCGACATATTATTCTCGCATATCGATAAACTTGTGTGGCAGGAGGATATGATCTCGTTGATGAAAGTAGGCCAGTTGTGAGGCCATTCTTGCTTCAAGATGGAAACGAGGACGAGATTCAACTTGTTCAAGAGGACTCTTTGGGACCTCAGAGACTCTTCCGATCCGGAACACTGTATGATGAAACCAACGACGAAATTCCGAATACCTAGAACAAGTCAGTATGGCGTTCTTCGTCAAGGATAGTAACAGAATCTATTTACCTTGGCACTGCTCTCTGGGCAGAACCTTCCACCTTGTCATGATAACATGATCTAGTACTTGCAAACCCAAATCTGATAATTTGTCAGCGAAACAGCATAGAGAGGGCGTTAAGGAACCTTGACCGACATTTGGCTTGCGGATATGTAGACTCTTGTAATATCTTATCAACTAATAACCACGCATCTGGATCCTCCTTGAACTATATAGTATATCAGTATCGATGGCGATATGGAGCGAGAAAGATTTTCGGCGCATGAAGAAGTCGTACCTGGTTCATTGCAGCCTGAGCGGCTTTTTGCTACGGAACAAACGCGTCAGTAAAGATGTTCCGGTATGAATAGATTCATTTGGGTATATGATATATACTCACAGCCTCACCGCGACCTTCATAGAAAGTCTTGACGGTCGCGTCAAGCTCTTCAATGGTGACAGCCATCTTTGCAGCTTGATTTAGGTATAGTACCCTATCCTGCTCTCAATAGATAAGCAATATGCTTTAATATCCTTTTGTGCAGCTTGCGCTGTTACAAGAAACTTTGTTAAACGAAGTTGATGGTATGTTTGAAGAAGTTGTCGAAAATGTCAAGTTGAAGATTGTTGGACCCAGCCGCATGTTCAAAGTGCTTTGTGCCCCACTAAGAGGAGGGATTCTCTCAGCGGGCCTTGAATACCGATCGGTAAACCATTAGGTCAGGTGATCACACCTAAATTATCACTCTCGGAAGATTTATCCGCAAGTGAATTCCTCTGATGTGATTTATAATTCGAAGCTTCTTCAAGGGTATTCAATCAAGTTACATTCAATTCTTGGCCTTGTTTTAATACGATATACCGCCGTTCTTTCCCTTGTTAGGAACAGATTGATCCACCGTGGATTACGATTATTTTATAAGCAACTACAGCAGAGTCATGGATGAGAAAACTGCACATACTCATCATACCCCTCGATTCTCTAAGCGTGATGAGCGAGGGAGCTGTACAAAATCAATTCTCTTCCATTATCTCTGTCTTTGGTGGTTAATTTTCTATATTTACTTTACCCACTCTTCCATTCTCCTGCATAAGCTCAGCACGATCCTCAAGTCTGTACATCGATGGCGAATGAGAAGTTTACTCGATGTGCCCCTCGATCCTCTCCGTCCCGGGGCTACATCTATCGTTCTGCTCCTTGGCCCTCTTGTCCTGAGATTAAATATACCTCTTACTATGCCTATCTAATGTTTGTATCAATACTTCACCTCATCATCTCGCATATACTCAGTAGTATATACTCGCGTACTCCTCATTCTCTATACAGTACCAGCCATTGCCAAGTTCTGTGTCATATATCTCATTTCGCTCACAGCGATTCATACCTGCATCATGATAACGTTCATTAAATCAAGTGATCCAACATTATGAATTTGATATCATATTTAGGCATAGAATACCAGATCTTCCAAGAAGCTTCTTCCCCAAACACATTCATCAATCGAAATTCGATACATCACATTCTTGCCTATAAGTCCCGATATCTACCTATCTATTGAATGCAGGATCTTGTGGAAAGCTAAGGCTTCCGTACAATCTTCCGTGCTCCTTCTACCGAGTTGTATCTAAATTTCCGAACCAATGAGTTTGCGTTTGTTACACATGATTGTACTGTCCAATAGGGTGTCGAGGCAAGATGGTTTGTTTGTACGACCATGGAGCCTGGGGGCCTTGGAGTCTTTTCTTGCAGTTGCTTTACCTTTCATGTTGAATTTGGGAATAATCAGTACTATATCAATCCAATGTCAGAGCAGAGTATTAACAGCATTGCTTTACGAGCAGTGGGCCGTAAGAGATGAGAGAGATACGTCAACCACACACAAAACAAATTTTTATGCTTAGCAAACAACAAAAATTTGACAAATGCAATTATGAAAGGAAAATAAAGACAACATTGCAGCTCTAAGTTCATGGCTGTTATAACTCTTTCAACGAGATATGTATCGCCAATGACCAAAAGTTATAGCAGAATCTAATCTCAGACAAATGCAAACCCAAGTGCCAAATAGTAAACAGTATATCTACATGACAACACCCAAGTCTTTTCAGCTCATTAGAGGTAAATTCTCCAAGACAAGACCAATCTCCATCTATGAGGCCCAAGACTAGACAAATCTAGAAATATAATTAATGTCAGCGGGATGTTCAAAAACGTAGTGACTTCAGGACAATTAATTGAGAACATGCATGGATATAATTTACAACAAAAAATAATCCTCCACTTCAACAACCCAAATCCACCACCTAGCTTCTTACCCAAAAAAAACAAAAAACAAACACAGACTTCCACACACCTATCCTTCTCTCCCAAGACTTTCCACTCACTTGTATATTGATAGGTATCTCCTCTACTCCCTCCTCATCTTCTCCCACCCATACATCTAACACTCACATATACCTGCCCCTCAGAACTACAATTCCACATACAATTCCATATATAATTCCATATCTTCCATATACATTACTACACATTACACATTACATATCACATATTACCTAGATAAATAAATCCCCACAACCAAATCCCCTTCTCTCAGATTTCTCCAACTAAAAAGAAGTACCTACCTATATAAGATTAAATCCAAGGAACTAGATAATTCCCACATCTACATACTCTCTCTACCTTCCCAGTTTCCAGAATCTCAATTTTCTAATAGGGAATTTATAGAATATATCTACCTATCTACTAAATAGATAGGTAGGTAGGTAGATAGATATATCAAGAATACATACATATTTCGCATACAAACCCTTGAATATATTTCCTACACTAAAGTAATCACTACCTGAGTATATGTACACTCTACACTTATCATTTCTATCTTGTCCCCATGCCTATCCCCATACTTCCACCCACACATCTCCCACCCACACATTCTGAATCAATCCACGAAGACACACTCTCCCGCTCCTTCCTTTTCTCTGCTTCAATCTCTTGATCCCTAGTAGAAAATCAATATTATATATTTTCTATGCCTTTGTCCTCATCCCCTCTCTCCATCCCCTCTCTCCATCCCCTCTCTCCATCCCCTTTCTCCATCCCCTCTCTTCATCCCAACTTAACCCAACCCAACATCACAACACTCTCCCTCTAAAGAAACAAAGAAGAGAGAGAGAAAGAAATAGATCAAATCAATGCTCAAATTGCGTTTATAATACCTACATACCTACACATATACAATAACCCCCCTCCCCTCCCCCTCCCCCCACAAAAAAGTCAACACCACCCTCCCATCCCACATCTTCCCACATCTTTCCACATCTTCCCACATCCCACATCTTCTATTTCTAGAACAGGTAATACTGACCTATCTATCTATATATCTATCTATCCATCTAATACCATACATCTAAAACATCTATCTCTCACCATATTGCCACATTCAAAAGTTCAAAGATACACATGTATGTATGTATGAAGTTCCTTCGCTTATTCATTCATTTATGTACCTAGTATTTATATGCATCCATCCATGTTCATCCATTCATTTTATATAACCACCTAGACGATGATTTTTGATTTCTCCAACCTATCTGCATATTCCCATCCCCACCTAAGAGAGATTTTGAGTTCCCCTAAACGATTCCAAATATATCCACGATGATTTTCGAAAAATGTTGATCTTTGCCCATAAGTAAATAGAAATTACACATCACTTCGTCTCATTCCGTTCAGCACCGCTCTCGCCCTTTGCATTTTTTCAAATAGCGCAACTAAGCCTTTTCATACCCTGCCTCCTTCAATCCAGTACCAAGTGCCTCGATGGCCTTCTCTACATCCCCTCTGCCCTCATTCATAACACTAACTCCCATATGTCCCACCCTAATGTACTTTGTCGCAATCTCTTTATGTAAGCCTCCTGCAAAAATGACTCCCTTCTTCACCAAATTTGGCAATAGCTCCGGTGCTTTAACACCTTCTGGGAGATAAATAGCTGTCATACCATTTGCCTGATCGGCAGGATTAGGTGCCAATTGTTTGAGCCCTAGATCCGCGACTGCCTTTTTGATTTTTTGTGATGTAGCTTTGTGTTTAGCGAAACGTTCAGAGAGAGGAATAGAGAGAATTTGAGTAAGAGAAGTGTGTAAAGCGTGGACTAGTTGAGGAGAGGGAGTGGCGAAGTAGGATGGCTTTTTAGCTTCGTAGTTTTGCATTACTATTTTCGATTAGCATCCCATCGTATACACCAAAGATGCAAATGTCAAACTTACTTGGCAACCAATTCTTGAACGAAGCAAAATATGATCCTGGAGGAGTCTTTCTAGCCTTGAATGTCTCAATCGCTCTACCACTATAGTACGAAATTGAAAGACCAGCTGGACAACCAATCGCCTTCTGACTCGCTGTAATGACAGCATCCAAACCCCAACTATCAAATTCAATCTCCTCGCATCCCACACTACAAACGCCATCTACCACAACCAACGTCTCAGGAGAAACTCGATGAACAAGCTCACTCAATTTCTTCAACTCACTCAAAACTCCCGTCGAAGTATCCACATGAGTGACCGTGATCAACTTATGTTTCTTCTCCTTCAATGCCTTTTCAATCTCATCCAATTGAGGTCTCTCTCCGATCTTCGCCTTCAATTGTGTGGGTTTGACTCCATAAGTTTCAAAACAATCCGCGAACGAATCTGCAAAATAGCCAGTATGGAGAACCAAGACCTCATCACCTGGTTCTGCCAAATTTGCAGCCACGAGGTCCCATCCAAGAGTACCGGAACCAGAAATGACGAGGGGTTGGGAAGAGGGATCGGTAGATTGGAAGAGCTTGCGCAGCATAGAGAGAGTTTCGCCGAAGACCGCTACAAATGGAGCGCTGACGTGACTTTCACTATTTTATTTGAGGATTTGTTAGTGATATATCCTATTTTAAGGCCCAAATCAATTTGGTGGTAATGATAGGTAAATACATACCTATAATGGCTCATAGACTGCAAGACGGCATCATCAAACTCAATTGGGCCCGGAATGAGCAAAGTAGGGTGAGCTTGTTGAGTCGACATTTTGATATTATTTTCTTGAACTTGTGTAGAATTACTGAAGCTTCTCGATGGTGTTGTAGATACCGAATTGGTAGAGTTGTCAAGTAAATTGGGATTTATCTGTCGTGCAATAGCAGACAGTCTAGCTTGAGGAGCCACGATTTGAGGAATGGCGGGGTAAAACACCCGTCTGAAAGCCAGCTTGAAAATGGTTCCGTTCCGTTATTATCCGATTGGACCAATAATTGAAGCTCTATTAGACCAGAATGAGTGGTCTTGGTAAGAAAATACTTATGTTTGGGTGCTACAATCACTCGGAGTATTGGCAATGAGGAATGACTTTGGGATTTATTTACCAAAAGAGGCGGTGATGACCGTCAATTATTGCATAAATACCTACTAACAGTTCGTTTCATAACTTCATAAACTTTATAAAAACGCATAACCTTCCCACCTATTTTACTCCGAGGTCGGGGGTTTCTTCGGGGACTTCCTATAATAGCTTCATAACCTCAAAATATGTACGATATGTATTACCATCAAACAACAAGAGAAGAGCATTCTATTTGATATCACTTTCCCTTCCAGTCCAAAAGTACATATCCACTGCTATCTATGCGTGCTGTGTAGCTTGTGATATATGGACAAAACACAATGAACTCCTTCCAATGCTTTTTTTCTCTTCACCATACCATACACTACCATGCTATGCTAATCGTGACATTCCTTGCTTCTCCCTTCCCTTTCCATTTCATTCATATCCTTTTCTTCCGCTGTACCACCCTCATGTACCACTTTGCTTCATACATAATTACAGTCGAGGGAGATTCCCCAGACATATGTACTATACCCATATATACACTTCATTCCTTCAAATCATGCCTTCTCAATCATCTCTACTTCTTCCTCGTCTGAAAGACCTTCTTAACCTTCGTCCTAAGAGGTTTCGCCGGTTGAGCCGCATGTTTCACCGCCGCGATCTTCTTTGCTTCCTTAGTCGTTCTCTTCCCAATATCCCATCCCCAACCCCTCAGCGTCCTCACAACCTTCGGGGTCACCGCCGCCGTCAACGGCACTCTAATAAAAATAAACGATTTATGGATCGCGTAAGCGAGAGCCAGTTGAGTACCTAGACTAGCATCCCTTTTATTGCGCTCTTCTGCTTCTTCTACACCCCATCCTGCCATTTCTGCTTCTTCTACACCCCATCCTGCCATTTCTACTCCGTCGCCCAGCTTGTCGGATCCGGTAACATCGTGTGAGGCTTTTTGCATGGCGACACGCCATTCGTGGAAAGTGGTTTTGATGGATTCGGGGATTATGGATTTGATGGAGGAGGTTATTGTGTGTTCCCATTCACCTATGGTAGTAGTGTGTTAGCCGGCCACTTGGACTGGGCTTTGAATAAAAATAAGACAGAAGATAGACCTCCGTCTGAACTATTTATTCATGGGATATAGAATCAAACTCCCGCGCATATGCAATTTCCAATATAACCACCAAACTCGACTCGAAAGAAAAATGAGATATCTTACTTACCAATTCTATCCGTTCCCAGCGTCCTGACTAACAAATAACAAAATGGAAAATCCGCCGCAGATAAAAAGATATAGACTCCCACCACACTCCACCCATATTCTCTACTCAATTTCTTCATTCTCCCTGATAGACTGGTATCATCCCCCAAATTTTCAGGCTTTGCTTCTCCATTCCTCCTCGGTCTTGAATTGTGAAAGTATCTATTTGTTCTTGTGCGAAGACGTTGGAACAATGTTTCCGAAGACGGTCTCGGATTCGAGGAGAATGTAAAATTGGTAGTCTGCGGACGGGATTTTGAGCGGAGAGAATTTATAGGAGTAGAGGTAAATGTAGTTATAGGTCGCTGTGGCAGGTTGCGCAGAATAGCTGATCTTGTAGATGTCGTATTTTGAATCGTAGTTTGAGAAGCTCTGATGAACTGGCGCATTCCCCCAGCCCTCAGTCCTGATATCGTTGCGCGGAACATACTTGCGCTTTGGTGATTTCTCCTACCGCAATTTGAATCGGATGATATGTTGTTTTTTCTTTCACCCTCCTGTAGCTACCATCTAAATTCCAAAGTCGTACTCAATCGCGTTCGTTCTTCCTCTTCAAATATCCTCGCAATCTCGAAATGAGGGGTCCCAACAACCGGATTCGTTTACTATGTCCGGAAAATCCGCTCGCAAGTGCTGATTCCTGTATATTTGACTTCGTAATTCGTAAACTGACAGGTCAATTAATAATCTCAGACTCTCATTCCTTCCTGCAGTTCAGTAATTCATCGCAATGTTTCGATTAACTTGCGCTCTTAAAATCGTAGTTCATTCAATCCGCCGCTACATTCCACTAAAGTTTTGATGAGGGACTAGCCTACCAAAATTTGAGACGGCAAATTCCTTCCACGTTTTTGACAAGGGAAGCTCCCGAATGAGCGCATGATGATGTAAAAGAATTACACATTACGGTGTTCTGAGAGAACTAGTTGTGCAATTAAGCGGCTCAATTCTGTCTCTTATCAAATTTGTACATTATGACTTACCAATTCGAAATTACATAGTACTCCGTATATTCGTCCCGACATGTATTGCTAGATGACCTGTTATCCTAACGCTTGCGGACACCTCTCACTTAGTTTATCGACTTAATGAAGTAGCAAACGCCGCGCCAGCTCTCCACATATTCATGGTTGGTAGTCGGGAGATATGAAGACAGAATGTCTAGATTATTTCATGCTAGGTAATTCACATATTCGAGCGCAGCGAGCCATGGGGGTTTGGGGGCCTGCCCCCATATTGTTTTCCAAAGAGATGAACGGCAATTGGCAATAGGGGAGTCGAAGTGGCAAGGAAAATGTGTTGATAGTACAGTGCATATTGAAGCACTCCCACCCCCGCAACGTTAGCAAACAACAACAAAATCTTGACATTTTCATGATCTGATCGTCGAAGTGAGAAATCGGGGGTAAGTTGGAGAATATTGAGTCTGATTTCACGATCAAATGGACTTTGTCCATGGAAGAGAAGAGGAAGTTGATCATAAAAGGCAATGTTTCAGTAGTAAGAAATAGAAAAGTTATCACTGGGACATGGAAAATTCACCGAAGAGCATATTTGGAGACTAAAGTTTTGAAGGTAATCAAATCAATTCGATTACAATGGTTTAAACAGTCGATATGGACAATAGAAGCAATATTTACAAAAAACCTGAACACTGAGCGCAATCTCCTCCAACATCGCCCCCTTCCCCCTTCTATATTGTTTGAACAAACCCTTTGCAGGGCTTATTCATCAAGGTGTTAAGATACTTAACACTTGACACCAGTTGGGAGACCAGCGCACTTGGAGGAGGTCTTACCACCGGTAACATTGACATCCCAGGTCCATCCAGAGCACTTGGCGCAAAGAACGTAGACGTTGGTAGCACTGGAAGAGACGGTACCCTTGACGTTGGAGAAAGTGACATCAGTGATGGGGACACCGGCAGTTGGCGTGCCGGTTGGGGAACCGTTCTCGTAATCTTGTTCAACAACAACACCGTAGGTTGTAATGCCGGAGAGGGTGATGTCCTTGTAGGTAACGCCGGAGACGGATCCAGTAGCACCAGAAACGGTCTTGATGCGGCAACCGTTGGCAGAGTTCTTGACAGTGGAGGATTCAATGATGATATCGGAGACAGTGTTGTCGGAACGTCCACCGACAGATCCGATGGAGAGACCGTGACCACCGGAACAGGTTCCACCGGTGAAGGTGATACCAGTACCGGAGTTGATAGCGAGACAGTCATCTTGGTTTTGAACGTTGGCACCGGAGATAGTGATGTCGCTGGAGGAACCAACATCGAAAGCATCTGTGTTGTGTCCGAGGGAGTTACCGGCAGAGTTGTCAATGTTGATGTTGGAGAGAGTAAGACCGGAAGCACCGTTGATGGAGAAGACTTGGACTGGGGAGTTCAAGATGTTGATACCATCAATGACGGATTTACCCGTCAAGGAGTGGGCGTAGAAGAACTTTGGCTTGGTCTTTCCACCGTTGCTTCCCTTACCATCCCAGTACTTGGCTCCTTGTCCATCGAGCTTGTTGCCAGCGGCACCCGTGACAGTAATGTCAGCTCCGGAGACAGAGAGGAGAGGACCGGACCATTCTTCGTAACCGAAGGTGGTGGTACCCTCGAAGATGACCTGGGTACCCGACTTGAGACCAGTCAAGTCAAGAGTAGTACCGGATGGGACAGAGAGGGCGCTGAGGACGATGGTGGCGCAGGAAGCCTTGGACTTGGAGGCGGCGGCTGCACCAGCAGTTCCGGAGAAGGTACAGGCGGCGGCACGGTTCTCGATAGCAGCGAGAGCATCAGCTGGGTTTGGGGCTGCGGTTGGTGCTGGTGCTGGAGCAGCAGCGACGATTGCGCTCAGCGCAAGGAGGCTCGAGGCCATGGAGAGAATTTGAACCATATTGGCTAGTAGGGTAAAAGAATGTAAGTTTAAAGAGTGAATGTGCTAGACAGTTTGGGAAAGAATGTAAGTGATGATGAGATGAGGAATGAAAAGAAGGTGTTTGAAGCTTCCTTATATATGTAAATACATGATGATTGAAATTCGGAGAAGCATCAAAGAAGTGGAACCCGGTTGAATCCCGCCGTCGGATGTTGATGCGAGATGTCAACAGCGGTAAACCTAACCCGCGGTGAGCCAAAGTATCTATCATGCTATGGTACGTTTTTGGCTCTGCGTACCTAATGTCAAGGTCCGCATTCTGATCACAGCAATCCTTGGAACATCATCAAGCACAAGCTTTAAAAAAAAGGAGAGATTGCCCGTGGAGTAGCAAATCTCACCACTTTCTTATTGAATGGCACACACAGCAAGGGGGAATGAAAGGCTTGGAACATGAAACGAAGCAAAAGAAGCTTCCAACAAGCATAAGAAGCAATCTTGGCTAGACCCTCCTGTATATTAAAATATCATCCCGAAGTAATTTCGAAGTACCGTTACTCCATAATTACTTGTCAAGGTGGTGAGATTGAAGCTCTTCTAGACTACTACCAGAGTACAATACCTCATTTGGCGTGATTAATAAAAAACTAACCCAAAAAGTGATGCGGCGAAGTCGTTGGATGTTTTGAGTTGATGAAATGTCAACAAATGACGGGATGCGCTAGAAATTTGATGGAAGTGTAGAAGGATATGATTGGTGTGGTTAGGAACCCCTGAGATTCTAATTGGTGGTTTTGCGAGGTAGTACCATTCAGTACGGAGCATCGTAGAGATTATGCTTTTGGAATTAGGTGGATCACCAGCTCGCATTACAGGAGATAATATGACTACCAAGGTGGCTTTTTTTTTCATCCCACAAAGTTCTTCCGTCCAATGATTGAGATGAAAGTGGACAGGTGCATGAATCCACGTTTCATCATCACAGGGAATCCATGGATCATTCTTTTTTTGTTGGTACATCAGCCACACTTTCCATACTAATCGCACTTTTCGGACTTTGCTAACCATCTTCACTAAGATTAAGGTACGATCACCGAACGGAAGTGCAACACTCTGAACTTAAAGGCCTGGCTAATGAGAAGTTAAGGTTAATTCTTCATCTTACTCGAGGATACGCAAACACGTGAGCTATACGGCGGGAAAACAACTAGGTGACTAGGTTCAACGGTCATTAGAATGGTAATTAGAATGTCACTCATCGTATCTGATACGGCCCGCGGGTTATGTTCGATAAAATGTAAAATTAATATGTACTTTATCTATACCAAAGTTTAAACATTCCGTGATATACTTTCTAAACTCTCCGTGGTGCACAATCTAACCCCTCCTGCTCCAGCTCCGTCTCCTGAAATGGTATCGCAACAGTAAACCTTACCCCCATCTTCAAGACATCAGGGTCAACAACATCGGGGAAGGGCCCCGACTCCCCGATGTTGTTGACCTGTCATTGCGAGTCTGGTCTGGTCTGTTCTGTACGCTCCACGTTGAACGTCATACAAAAAAAACAGAAAGACATATCTACACAGAACAACACTTACGTTTCTCTGCGTCTACATGCAGTACCAAGATCTCCCCGACGCTGCCGGCAGCCGAATATAGATTCTCGGCGTTGCTTGTTTACCGCCTCCAAGTGATCCCAATTCATATAAATCGACTTGGCTCCCCAATACCCCTATTGGCATCGCATAAGCTTTTGCCAAGTTGTTGCGAGCAACAAGAGATTAATCTATGCATGCAAGAATACCCATTGAATGATATATTAAAACTCCGCAATAGTCCGCACGTGTCCCGCAACGGCATTATAACATGATTGAACAAATCAGATTGTGAATCATTTCGGATTTCGCAAGGTGCATCACGCCCCTCGGCAAATAGACAGAAAGTGGGTGCGAGAGTGGATTTGTTGGGGGAACATGGAACGACTAGAAATTTCTTAGAAACTTGGTTCATCAATTTGCAGGAAAAATTAATTTCATGCTCTTCTGATTACGATTTTCAATCTGTATACCGGTATTGTTCTTTATTATCCCTCTCGTAATCATCAAAAGATCGAATGATGTCTCAATGTATAAAATAGGACTTTGTCATTGGTGGCCTTATATTTCATTCCACATGATTCATTGTCCATTTAGGGTATTTACATTATATTTTACTTTTTTAAAAATCTAGAATGCGCCGAATGGTCTGTCCGTGCATCTACTCAATCTCTCACTCCCTTGCACTTGATTTCAGGTCAGGGGGAGTACGACTCGTCTAGACTTTACTTGTATTTCCATTGGCGAGAGGCGTTTCATGTTTCTGCAATTTTGGTGAAGAAGGGCTTTCACGACGGATAGCTTGTTTCGTAGATCAGATGATCAAGCAGCCAAGCAGAAGAACTTTACTTGAACCATTGTTTGTGTTTATCTGATTAAAATATCCAGAAATAACTTGACGAGCAGACTAGATGTGACGAATTGACTAGATTTGCTAACGTCATGTTTATGGCCAAAATG